ATCTATCTATCTATCTATCTATCTATCTATCTATCTATCTATCTATCTTTTTTAAAGTTTGGTGTTTTTCACATCATGCATCTTGATCCCGTTCATTTCCCCATCCTTTTGCAACTATCCTCCTTCCCTGCCCCCCTGCAGCCATTTTCCATTAAAACAAAATTTAAGAGGAGAAAAAGTTAAAAATCTCATCAAGGCTGGGTGGTGGTGATGCACACGCCTTTAATCCCAGCACTTGGGATGCAGAAGCTGGTGGATCTCTGTGAGTTCAAGGCTAGTCTGTTCTATGAAGTGAGTTCCAGGACTGCCAAAACTGTTATACAGAGAAACCCTGTCTCAAAAAATAACAACAGCAAAAATAATAATAAACTCGTCATAGAAACAGTAAATCACACAATAAATCCCTTTGTCTATATATCTTTACTTGCAACTTTTCATTGCATAGAGTGATTTGTCTGGCTTAAGGGCTCTGGTTTCTATTACACTGTTGATGGCTGGGCCTTCACTAGGATTCTTCACGGATATTTTCTTGTTTCCCTGTGTTGTGGAGATCTTGCATCTTTGGGTCTGCAGGTCAGGCCCCTTCACGTGCTCCAGCAGATCATAGATAGGCTGGATGTTGGAACAGGCCAAGTCATAACCCTGGTCCTGTGCCTAGGCAGCTGCAAGGTCGATCAGCCCACCAGTTCTCCCCTGTTCTCCCCACCAGGGTGAGCTCTCCAGTATTGTCCGGGCTAGTTCACCCCTTGTAGCAGTGAGCAAGGGGTGGGGCTAGTTCTGCATCCATGCCTTCAGGGTCAGCTCTCCCACACCACTGATGTGGTGTCATCAGGGCTAGCTCACTGTGTTACCCAGTCCAGGTACGCGGGTCACTCTCTTGAGCGCTTCAACTGGTGAGGGTCAGGGACAGTCCTTCTATTCCCATGACCCCAGGGCTAGCTCTTCTTCCACCTGTCCCAGGTATGGGGTAGCATCTCTCCTCCACCCATGCAGTCACATGTCAGATGATTACTGGGGATAGGCTCCCCTGCTCACAACATGTTTGTTTGTTTTTTTGTGGCAGGATTTTTCTGTAACCCTGGCTGTCCTGGAACTCACTTTGTAGACCAAACTGACCTTGAAAATCAGAGATCCACCTGTGTTTGCCTTTGTGAGTGCTAGGTTTAAAGGCGTGCGCCACCACTGCCTTTAAGTGTTCTTTTCATTCACACTTGTGTAGTGAGAGCTGTCTGTAGGCTGCTTGCCTTAGGGCTGCAAAGTGACTACACTGTCCCTGTCATCTCACCTAGGTTGCTAGAAGGATATCAGAGTCAGGGTCTCAATAGCGTAGTCCAGCTAAGTTAACCCTATGCCAGTGAGACCCCAGCATCTTGAACTGTCATTAGATGGAACTTAGGCAGTCACTGGAAAGCATAGGAATGGAGTTTCTGGTCGGAAAATCAAAAATGAGGCACAGACTCTTTCTGGAACTCCTCAGCCATTTCTCTCTCCTGATCAACCTCCTAGGATTCTCCAAGAAAGAAGGCTGTCAGGTCTGTCCTGAGGAAAGGTCTTGGTTCTGCCCCCTCCCCTGTGCTCGTGGTCTGCTTACCCTTTGCTTTTGCTTTTCCTCTTCTGGGACAGGATCATCTGTAGCTTCTATTTTTGGTCTAAGTTGGTATCAGGATCATTATGTCTCCTGTATTTCCTTGTGTTAAACCACAGTCCCTGGCTGCAGCAAATCTGTAGTATCTCACATATTCGTTCACCAAGAGGCCCATGGACACCCACTGGAGACAGGGTTGGCTCCCTAAGACCTACTCCTGGCTCTGCCCTGGGCAAGCTTCCCAGCACCATATCTTTGTGTGTATTTGTTCTTCCCATCTGGAACCCAGTGTCATTTTCTCTCTGGGTGCTGCCACCCCACTCTTCCCCACCCTGTGCACAAAGCTCCCATAGGACACATGAGTTTACTATGATAGTTCTGAATACAAGGCCTGTTGGTTTCACTGTTGCCTAATCTAGTAGAACTTGACTGTTGCTTCTTTTCCCTTCAGGACGCTGTCAAACTGGGCATATGAGTTTGACAAGTGGGCCCCCTCAGTGGCGAAGGTTTCCTACAAGGTATGTCACAGATTGAAATGGTGTTTTCTAACTTGTTAGGAGACACAGCCATGAGCAGGGATGGTGAAGGAGCGCAAAAAGAAGCCATTATGCATTAGAGGCACAAGGCTCCCAGGCTTGGTGCTTATTTGATGCTCACATGGTCTTAGTGGTAATGTAGAATGTATGCTAACTTCTTTTGTGACATAGATGCCTTTTTTTTTTAAGTCAAAATCAAATATTCCATTTGTGGAGCATGTGAAACATGGTTTCAGCATATATAATAGACATGGATACATTCATTGAAGAATTGTCTTCACCAGAACTCTTGTTAAAACCCGTTTGTAGGGATTGGAGAGATGGCTCAGAGGTTAAGAGCGTTGCCTCCTCTTCCAAAGGTCCTGAGTTCAATTCCCAGCAACCACATGGTGGCTCACAACCATCTGTAATGGGGTCTGGTGCCCTCTTCTGGCCTGCAGGAATATACACAAACAGAATATTGTATACATAATAAATAAATAAATATTTTTAAAAAACCATTTGTATATGAGAACAGAATGAACATAGACCGTTGATGTGGCATGATGATAAGTGTCCTGTGTACCTAACCAGGCCTGTGCCTAACTCTCTGCCTAACATCATGCCAAACTCTTATAAATGATTGGGATGGGACCTTTAGCCCACAGATGTGGGCAATGGAAACTTAAGCTGAAGAGGCAGCAGTCCACCAAAGCATAGCACTGTTTACTTCTGCCGTGGGCTCTGTCCTGTGCCTGTGGTGTAAGGGCATTGTTGCTGTGTGCTATAACTTGATGTGTTAGGAAGGAAGTCATGGAGGAGACTGGGTTCTAGAAATGAGGAAGGACTAGGCAGTAGGGAGCAGGATGAAGTGATTATAGTGGCTGTTGCCATGTGAAGGAGAGGACCTTTCTCCCAGGTTAGGGACCTAAATTCTGGACACCAGGAATGTGACTGATGATGGTGCAGGCAGCAGTTTCCCAAGGTGCTTCATGTCCATTTCTCTCCTGTTGTACATGCAGGATCAGAGCAGGCTAGCAGTCTTGCCTAGCACATTCCCTGGCTGCTTTTGACAAAGGCCATCTTCCTTCTTCAGGAACACTCTTCAGGAGTCTAAATTGTTTGCATCCTGTCTCAACAGGGCTCTCCAGCAGCAAGACGAGCTTTCGTCCCACAGCTACGTAGTGGAAAGTTCAATGTCTTATTGACCACCTATGAGTATATCATCAAAGACAAACATATCCTGGCCAAGGTAGCGTATCATCACCAAATACAGCCTAGAGCTGATAGCATACTTGTGTCATAGCTCCTTGCAAGGAATCTCTCAGTGCTTCATCTGCAAAACACAGCTGCTGTGCACTTTTGTAGGGCACAGCCATGCCCTGGCTCCTTCAACATCCTAAGCAGGCGTTAGGTTAGGTCAGGATTCTCCACAGAACATGGACAAGTGCCCCTCACCCATCTCCCACAACCTCTGTGCAGAGAGCCTCTTCACTTGTCCCCTGACCTTCTTGAGTGTCCTATTGGCTTGAGACAAGACCATCCTTGTATGTGGTCCTAGTGGGCCGCTCCCTGGAGTTTGGCTGTCAGTAACATTGACTATGGGTCTGGTGGACACTGCGGGGAACAATTGAGGGTGAGCACTGTGGTGGGGATGTACTGGGCTAGAGTGGGGCCCCTGTCCAGGGAGACTGTGGCTCTGTCTGATGTTATTGACAGCCATAAGTGGCACGAAGTTACCCAATCTCTATCTGTCCAAGCTTGTTTTCCTAGTGTGGACCGGGATGGAAGCTGGGAGACAGGGCTGGGCCCCCATAGCTGGTAATCCAGCAGGAAGTATTAAAGAACTCACTTGGGGATGGGACCTCTACCCATAGCCAGGTTTCCTTGCAAGGTGCTAGCAATGTGCGCACTTACTGTGGTTTCCTAGGCTGACAGGTGGGAGTATATCAAGATTCAAGGCCTTGAATTCAAAGGCCCATTGCGGCCTTTTACCATATAGGCCTTCCACACGGCACCAACTCCAGTGTACAAGACCAAATCCCAAGCCATGCATGAGGCCCTGAAAACAACCTTGATTCCTGTCAGTGGTTCACACTGATATCTATGCCGAGCTTCTATATCTTCAAATGGTACCATGGACAGGCTTGTTATGAGAGGTGGAATTCATTATGGTCATAAGAGAAATAGCCAGGAATTTTCCTGGGGCTCCTACCTGAAACCTCATTCTGTCTAACCCTGTCCTTGGAGTTTGGAGTCACTGTCAGACTCTGGGGAGGAAAAGTCTGGCACTGCCCCTACAAGGAAGCTGCATTTGTTTGTGTGTGTGCCACCTGCTTCAGAGGCATGGCTACTTGTGACCAATGTTCCAGGTGCCTCCCCATTGCAGGGTGAGGTGCTGAGCACTATTTCCTGTCATTGTTTTGAAAACCAGAGTCCTTTTTGCTCTTTGTCCCTGATAGCACAGCGTTGTCTCATGTGTCCCATGTGTTGGAGTCTGTGTCTTGTGGTTCCTGCTGGACATGCTGGTCACTTGGCAACTCTGCTACCTCCTCTTTCTACCTCCTCTTTCTACCTCCTCTTGGCCTTGCAGATCCGCTGGAAGTACATGATTGTGGATGAAGGCCACCGCATGAAAAACCACCACTGCAAGCTGACACAGGTCCTCAACACACACTATGTGGCCCCTCGGCGCCTGCTTCTTACGGGCACACCATTGCAGAACAAGCTACCCGAGCTCTGGGCGCTGCTTAACTTCCTGCTGCCCACTATCTTCAAGAGCTGCAGCACCTTCGAACAGTGGTTCAATGCACCTTTTGCTATGACAGGAGAGAAGGTGAGCTTGCCTGGGGTAGGCTCGACCACCCTGAGACTAACTATATGTGCCCTCTGCACACATAACAACAGAGCCTCTGTAGTAACCAGGTCTCCAGTGGAGCAGCAATCAAATGCCCCAGTGGAGACTGTGGAGCTCCCATGAGAATCAGGTCTTGCTGTGAAGGTATTACAGAGCTCAGAAAATTTAGCTAAGATATCTGTGGCTTTGATTTGACATTGTTTACAAAGAACACTACAGCTAGCATTTTATCCAGTTGCTATGAGGTGGAACTAAGTCTAAAGGTCATACTCTCCATATGGGAGGGCAGGACTTCTGTGTGAAGACACATCTTTATCTGAGCAGCTAGCCCACAGCACTAATGCTGATGGATTTTAAAGCAGGCCATATGCATTATGAAAGGCTTAAACAACTAGCCCATGAGCCTGAGCAAAACTCAGAAGCTGATGGCAGCTGTCACTTATTCCTCTTAAGGCCTTTTGAGGTTGTAGAAGGCATCCTTTGCTCTCATCTGTAAGTTCCCTATCCTCCCTGGAGACATGCTGAGGCAACAGGCCTTGTGAAAGGGAAATTGATGTTCTTTCCAATCCAGAAAATGAAAGAGCCTCTTCTCAGAGTGCCCTTTACAGAGCCAGGCCCCAAATCTATAATTGGGCTTCTTTTCCTCAAAGTAGAAGCTCTAAAAGGGATGACCAGAGAGCAACAGAAAAGCTCAGTTGTCTCTCCTTCCTAGGAGCCAGGCTTGGTGGTGGACAGGTAGCTGGGTCTCTGAGTCCGAGGCCAGCCTGATTTCTACAGAGCAAGTTTCAAAACAGTCAGGACTACACAGAGGAAACCCTTTATCGAAAACCCAAAAATTAAATTAATCCATTTTAAAAAAATGAATAAATAAATAAAATGAAACCCTGGCTAACAAGATGGCTCAGCAACTAAAGGTACTTGCCACCATTCCTGATGATCCAAGCTTGAGTCCCAGGACCCACAAGGTAGATTCAGAGTCAACTGTGACCTCCTTGGGGTCTACACCCCCCCACACACACACAAATAAGTAAATGAAAAACATTTTATGTGTTAAACAATGTATCATCTTAGCTGAAAAGTGATGACTTGGGCTGGGCGGTGGTGACACACTCAGAAGTCAGAAACAGACTGATTTCTGTGAGTTCTAGGCCCTCCTGGTCTACAGAGCAAGTTCCAGGACAGGCTCCAAAGCTACAAAGAAATCCTGTCTCGAAAAAACAAAACAAAACAAAACAAACTCACAAAAAAGAAAAGAAAAGAAAAGAAAAAAAAAGAGCGGTGTCTTAGATAAACAGTATTTCTTACTCAGCACTTCATCTCAGACTGAGAGGGGAAAGGGTGGCCCTGGTGTCAGAGCAGCCTTAGACACTGATCAGACCTGCTTGGAGTGCCTTGGTCAGCTGGTGTTGTGGTTGTAAACACAAGCTGATAACAGCTTAGGGGGACCCCCGCAGCCAGCTGTTATGTATGTTCTTGGAGTTGGGGAAGCATAAGGAGAGCACGGTACCTGACCCTTAGCAATACATCAATTACCGAAGGCCGCAGATTTTTCCCAGGAAGAGGGCATTCCTCCTCATATAAAGTAGCACAAGTACCAGATGCTGTTGTGATGCAGCTGCCTGCCCTTTACCATGCCCTGCCTCCCTCTTCTGGAGACAGTGTTGTGATTTACTCTTTGGCACCCAGGTGGACCTGAATGAAGAGGAGACCATCCTCATTATCCGTCGCCTGCACAAGGTGCTGCGGCCCTTCCTCCTGCGGCGGCTCAAGAAGGAAGTTGAAGCCCAGCTACCTGAGAAGGTAGGTGTTGGCAGAAGACACAAGGTGCCATTTGCAGGGCATTTCCAGGGAAGGGGCAGTCAGGTGTTCCTTCCCTGGCTCTGCTCCACCAGGCTTGGAGTGGTGACTGACACTACTGCAAAGCCAGGGCAGTGTGTCAGAACTGAGCCCTGTCTCACACGTGCTTGCTGTATGCATGCCCAGATTCCTGTCCACAGCAAGAGCCCGTGCCTTAGGTTGGATCTGCTGAGCATTGCCAGTGGTATGGGCTCTCTGCCCCATTCAGCCACACTTGGCTTGCCTGTCTAGTTCACCTCATCCTTTATTTTCTAGCAAGCTATGGAGAGCCCTCCAGAATGTGAACAGCTTACCCATTTTGGTCTAGAATCTAGTCTGTCTTCTCTTCATTCCATATCTCCCCCGTATTGGGGTTCCTTTCTCAACCCCATATCCTAATCAGAGTGCTGGTCACAAGGCTCCAGTTGGTGATTCGGGTGACTCAGTCTGAGATTGTATGGCCTCAGAGTACTCTTTGTTCCACAGGTGGAGTATGTCATCAAATGTGATATGTCAGCCCTACAACGTGTGCTCTACCGTCACATGCAGGCCAAAGGTGTGCTGTTGACTGACGGCTCTGAGAAGGACAAAAAGGTTTGTTCCAGGTCCCTGTTCCCCTGATTGGAGGGGAGGGTGGTTCGAGAGCACCATGGGGTTCCGAGCATTGAGCATCCTGCCCAGAGGTCTCTCCTGGCTCTAGTCCCTCAAGCAGTCAGTCAGCCACACCTTTTATACTGGTTGTCTTTTGAGGATGCTCACTGGACTGCTTTCTGGAATTCCCCTTGTTTGAGGCACTGTCTTTCTCATGACAATAGGAAACACGGGGCTAACTGATCTAGATTTAGAATATTACTAGGGAGCTCCACAACTCAGCAGTCGTGATCTTCATGGCCTTCCTCTTGGTATTGCTGAGGGTGTGCTGACATTGGAAAGAGTGAGGGGGCAGACCAGCCCTCTCTTGGTAGCACTCAGAGTGTCCTCTTCCACCTCTAAGCAAATTTGGGCTTGTCCCATAGGGAAGCACCAATCCCTCTGGTCTATACCCTGCATCCCAACTATAGTTTCAGTATGTTTCTATTGTTTGTTCTCTCAGGCTGTTTTTTAGCCCCTTTTTTATCTGTACTCCTTGCTTCCCTTCCTGACATAGAGGACAACTCCCTTCTCATTATAACTGTATAAAGTGCCTGTGCTTCCCCTAACCTGTTTGCCACATTTGCTTCCTGTCATCCCATGTGCCAGGTAGTCTCTTAGGACTTCTCAGGGACCCCACACAATGCTGTTTCCTCCTTCCCAGTGACCCTGCCACAAAGACAACTACCAGCTTGCTCTGGGCCCCTCTCCTACCACCCTGCCAAATCTCCTGCCCCCTTCATCTTACCAAAAGGCAGGACCCCATTTTGGACCATTTCATGTGTCCCTGCAGGGCAAAGGTGGCACCAAGACACTGATGAACACTATCATGCAGCTTCGCAAGATCTGCAACCACCCCTACATGTTCCAGCATATCGAGGTAAGGCTACAGCCCAATGGCCCAGCTTGTGGAGGTAGAGTTGGGCTGCTTGTCCCTAATGCCTGTGTGTGCGTGCGTGTGTGTGTGTGTGTGTGTGTGTGTGTGTGTGTAGAGGTGAGAGGTTGATGTCAAGTGTCTTCCTCTACTAATCTCTGCCTTAGTTTTTGAGATAATAATTTTTTATTGAACTTTGAGCTCACTGGTTGGCTAGACAGAATGACTAAGGAGCTTCACAGATCCATCTGCCTCTACAGTCCATAGTTCTGGGGTTACCCACATCAGCCACCACATCTGGCTTCTACCTAGGTGCTAGGAATCCAAACTCAGATCCTCTTTGTACAGCAGAGGCTTTGGGGACAAAGGCATATGTCTCCTTGGACCTTATGATGTTCTTAAGAATAGCTTAAGGAACTGGTTACTGTTGCACACTTCTTTAATCCCAGCACTCAGGAGGCATAGGCAAGTGGATCTCTTTGATTTCAAAGACAGTCTGGTCTACATAGGGAATTCGAAAACTACCAGGGCTTTGTATAGAGACCCTGTCTCAAAGCAAAACAGAAGAAAGGGCAGCCAGTCATGGTGGTGCACGCCTTTAATCCCAGCACTCAGGAGGCAAAAGCAGGTGGATCTACCGAGTGAGTTCTAGGACAGCCAGGGCTACACAGAGAAACTCTGTCTCTAAAGAAAAAAAAAAGAGCTTAAGATTCTCACTAGCCACTCTTTGTACATCTGTCTCCATTGAGTTTTTCTTTTGTTGGAGTTTAGCGTATATGTATGTATGTGTCTGTGCTGCTGTGGATGTAGCCAAGGGACGTAACATGTAACCACATACTCTAGCATTGGGTGTGCCCTGTCCAACAGGTGCTTAACAAACCCATCACGGGGCTGAAAATGAATGTCTCTAAAGGTCCACACTTGAGTCACCTCTTTGGTGGATTTGGAGACTTCTTCCCTGGGATGTGTTCCTACTCCTAAGGTTACACATATCTCTGCCAGGGTTTCCCACACCTGGTTAGGAATAGCTGCCATGGACATCAATCAAGTCTGTGGCCACTATCCACAGTCATTATGAGTAGTTGTTCTTTTGAAGAATCTGGACTCTTGCTCCCGGAAAGCATACGTGTGTTTGTATTCTTGATGTACAGTTTCAGGGTCACTCTAGACCTATGATGCCTTCGAGTTTGATTTCAGGTTGGTCTGAGGTGTTCACATTGGTGACCGAGTATCATGTGGTCCTCCTGTCCATCACAGGAAAAGCATGAGGTTTGGCATTTGGTGCGCTGAGGCCAATGACATCCATATCTGGACTTGGTGCCCCTGCAGGACACAAGTGACCACCAGTGTGAACTCTCAGTCCTCTGCAATAGCATCTTGGACTGTGGGCTTGACTGGGTAGCCCCTTCCTGCCTTGGCACTGATCCATCTCTTGTCCTGTTGCAGGAATCCTTTTCTGAACACTTGGGGTTCACCGGCGGCATCGTGCAAGGGTGAGAAACTTCCCAGTTCTGGGGGTGGGCAGCAGTCTGCCAGGAGGGGTTTGTAGTCTTGTTCAATGACTTGGTTGCTGTGATTAACGTTTATCTGGTTTCTGAGGCAGAATGTGCTCTTAGACTGGCCCTCGGACAGTGGCTCTGCTGTCCACAATGTAACCTTAGGCACAGGCTCTATTTCTCTTTCTTTTGGATTGTTGAAATATGGCTTCAATGTGTGGTCTAGGCTCCTATGTAACTATGTAGCCCAGGATAGCTAATGATCTCCCTCTGAAAGAGTTGGAGTCCTTCTCCCTCAACCTTCCAGGTGCTGGGATCATTGGTATGAGAGAGATACCATGCTTGCTTCCAGACCACACTTCTGTAAGTCCATAGTGGTAGCCCTGGATGCCAACTCTAGAATGTCACTTAGAGCCTTGTTGTGTACATTCTTGAAGTTGAGGCCACATTTCCAGCCTTGCACTGTTCGCCTATGAGGGCGATTAGAAGAGCACTGGTGCTCTTTGCTGTTGGGTAGGACTGGGTCTTGGGCCTCACCATACTGGGCAAATGCTTCATTATCATGTGCTAGCTCGACCCCCTTGATTCTGAGGTAGGGCCTCTACAGTCTTTGGTCTTGCACTCTTGTGCTGTAGCTGGGAATTACAGGTATGCACCACCAGGCCTAGCTTCAAAAAGTCCTATGGACCTGTATGTATTTATGTCATTTGAATTATAGTATATCTCAGACCCAGCCTTGTCCCACTATCCCTGCCACTCTGTCTGTTTCCCTATGTCTAAAGCTAGAGGAAATAAGAGAATCCTGGGATTCTTTAGTCTGGAGTTGAGTTCCTAGTGTGAGCTGTTCTAACCAGGTGGTGGCAGACCCAACATCTGGGAGCCACTCCAGCTCGTATCCACCCTCTCAGCATTGTTTCTTCCTGGAGCCATTTCTCTTTTTACCTTTACATAAGTTCTAGGGACGGAACTGAGGTCAGCAGGGTTGCAGGACAAACGCTTTACCCATGAACCAACTCCCTGGCCCTCTGAACATCATGTCTAATCACACTTACTTTATTCTCCTTGTGACCTGATGAAATGACATGTACATGGTCTCTAGTGACGTGACCTGAGACTGCTGTAGCTGTGGGTGGGTCTGCCTGGGTAAACCACCCCCTTGTCCCTGAGTCTCCTAGGCAGCCTAGGATCCACATGCACCATTGTTGAGCTCACATTGTGTTACTGACCATTTGAATGTTTCCACCTCTTCCTTCCATGCACTAGATTGGACCTGTACCGTGCCTCAGGGAAGTTTGAACTTCTTGATAGAATTCTACCCAAACTCCGTGCAACCAACCATAAAGTGCTACTCTTCTGCCAAATGACCTCCCTCATGACCATCATGGAAGACTACTTTGCATACCGTGGCTTCAAATACCTCAGGCTTGATGGTGAGTGGAAGACCATCTACTTGAGAGATTCGTTCCTGACCTGGTTACATGGACTTGCAGTCCAATGGGTACTCTGAGTCCAACAATATTCTTGCAGCTTGGAACAATGAGGAGGACCTGACGGTGTTTGTTTAGACTCCTGTTCACTGGAGTTTTCACTGCAGTGCTGATTCAGTGTTAGCAGGTTCTAGTGGTCCCATTTCAGCACAAGTTACACAAACCTTTGTCACATGGGCATGAACATAAGAGCACCACTATTCTGGCTCTGGTAGAGCTGATTCCAGATGCATGCTCTCCTCCATCTTGGCCTCATCCGCAGTCAGGCTGTACTCACTGCTCAGTGTCACCAGCAGAGGCTCAGCTGCAATGGACCATGGCACTGCCCAACATGCTCAGTGTACTGGCTGTATACGTCTTTCCACCTTCTCTGGTCTCCAAGAGATGATTCAGGGAGGAAGAACAAGTGATCAGGGAGTCCCTGAAGTTTCTTTCCCATACTGCCAGTCTGGGAAGATAGTCTTGGGAACTTCAGTAATAATAAGACTTGGCAACTTTTGGTTATCCGTGCAGAGACTTTCTTGGGCTCAGGAGCTGGGTGTGGCTAACAATAGATTGCCCTTTCCCCTCCCCCTGCCCTCACTCCTTGTCCTCTGGACCTTTTTTACTGCATTTATTAAGGTTTTAAGGACTACCAACCTGAGCTTGGTTGTTTCATCTTTTTGTCTAACTCTGTGGAGCCTCATCTAGAGCATGCTGACTAGAACTGCACACCCACCTGTCCCTAGCCCCTCAAAATATCCCAGAGTCACCTTCGCTAAGCCAACATCCTATTCTATGTGTTCACGCTGGCCAAACGTTGCTGAGGTCCAAATGACTGGGCCTCTTTAGCTGCCCCCTCCTGTCCTTGTGAAGCACCAGGTCCTTCTATATTTGGGTGCCTGTCCTCTCAAGGAGTAAGGACTGTTATCTATTTGATCTCAGCTGTGTGTGCTGCATGTAGTGTGAAGGCCCAGGCAGCATAACTGCTCACAGAGCGGGGAAAGGCCAGAATGCAGTGAAATGCCGCCACAGGCAGGCTGCTTTATCCTATGACTGGCCAGTATGAGGTGCAGGCCTAATTAGCCCCTTGCTAGCTAGGAGCCTAAGGAAGGCTGCAGTGGGCAAAGCTCTTGTGCATACATTTCTTTTCCTCTTAAGCCAGCCAAACTGACTGCAGGAAGGTCAAGGGTGAGTGCCAACCCTGTAGCCAGTGGCTCCTCCCACCACCCCAGGCCATTAGTGCTGAGGTACTGTGATCCTTGTCAGGGTATGGGGTCAGCCTCATTAGCCTCTTAATGTCTGTCCTCGTACAGAGAGAATGAACAAGAGTCAGGAGGCATTGCATCTGGAGCTGACGCCCCAGGAGCCTGTCATCATCTTCCTCTTCCAGTGGCTTGTGTCATACAGGACACGGCTAGTTTGTGGGGCCCATTTTTATCTCCTGAGATAGGCATGGTGACATTCAATAATGATATACTGTGCCTCCAAGTCCTTATCTGATTGATCCTTTCACACTGTAGAGGTCAGCTGTGGCTCTTGTCCCCTGCAACACCATTCCTGATGCCAGGACACAAGCTCCTTTACATATCCCACCCCTGGGCACCCTCCTGACCCTCTTCTCCTGTGCCTATCAGGAACCACAAAAGCAGAGGACCGGGGCATGCTGCTGAAAACCTTTAATGAGCCTGGCTCTGAGTACTTCATTTTCCTGCTCAGTACTCGTGCTGGGGGGCTGGGCCTCAACCTGCAGTCAGCCGACACTGTGATCATCTTTGACAGTGACTGGAATCCCCACCAGGTAAAGGCACTGGCCGTGGAGAGGGGATACCTCCTTTCTTAGTGTCCACTTCCTCCCTGATGTTCTCCCTAACCTGGGATCTATGAGAAGTACATTCACTGGTCCATGGTGGTCAGGGAGCAAACCAAGCAGATTCCCCTCCTGCTTCTCAAAGCCTGAGAACCCTGCCTGAGGAGGACTCTCTTTCCAGTCTCCATGTTTTTATTCCTGGATGTATGTGGACAGTAACTAGCACAGAGGTAGAGCTCTTCTCTAGCCCGCATTAGTCTCCAGGCCCCATCCACAACATTACAGTTACCATACAGTTCTTGGGTTCCATAATTGAGAAGGTGAAAAACAGCCTCGTCTACAGGACTGGTGATTACTTGTCACTGGGGCACAGCCCTTCTAGACTGAACCCCACATACAGTCCTATTCAGTGAAACCAGACCTGGGCAAGCTCTGTGCTCTGTTCATTTTCTCTTCTTGCTTCTTAGCCACATTTGCCCTGGGGCCCCCATGCAGAAGATGCCAGGGTGTGCTGTTAGTACATTTAACATTTTGAAGATGAGTAGCAAATTTTCCCTATCTCCTCATATAGGTATACTATGTTGGTTTAGTTTGCAGTGCACATGCTAGTCTATAAGGTGAACTGAAGTCCCCATTACCATCATCATTCTGCATCTACCAGGCACACATAATAGTGATGTGTTTGACGTGTAGTGGTATGTTCCTGTCCCATTTGGCCACCATTGCCTGTCACCGCTCCAGAGGAGACATGTAAAGCTTTTTGACTGTTGCCTCTGCTACAAAGTGCCCAGCAGAATGTAACAGCTCCAAGACATTTATCCTCTAGTTCAACAGATGGGTGTCTATATTTTCTGTCTATTCAGTGACCATTAATTAGCCCCTAGGGAACCTTTTTTGTCCCTCTTGGGGCACTTTTGCAAGGACCCTCTAGTCCTGTGGTTCACAACAAGTCATGACCCTTTAGGAGGGGTCAAACGACCCTTTCACAGGGGTCACCTAAGATTATCTGTAAACAGTTGTTTACAGTATAATTCATAACAGTAGCAAAATTACTGTTATAAAGTAGGAATGAAAATAATTTTATAGTCAGGATCACTACAACATGAAGAATCTGTATTAAAGATTAGGATTTATAGTATTAGGAAAGTTGAGTACCACTGCTCTAGTTAGATCAGCCCTGAAAATAAGTGATTGCCGTAGTTATAAGGCATTGCATTCACGTGCAGGCTGCTTGTGTATAGCTGACTCCCTCCCACTGATAGTTTGTGGCATGTCCTTGCCACAGCCTAACAGACCTAGTAGAAATGATTCATGTGATGGTTAAATTGCCTAGGTGGTCACTCTGTCATTTCTGTGATGAATGTCAGTGTGGTTTCTACCCAGATGCTACTGATGTGCCAATTCTTAAGAAATGGTCAGATAATAACAGAAGTCAAGCAGAGGCCACTTCAGGGCCAACCAGGGGCACATCAAGGCCAGTCTTGCCAGCCATCATCCTGTTGTACCTGGAGGCCAACTGTCAAACAAGTCCCTTCTGTTCTGATGGTCATGGTCTCTAATTTAGAAAAATTTGTTATAACCAGCTTGCCACACACAGCCCAAAGAGAATTAATTGCAGGCAGTCTCACTCTGCTCGAAATGACAGATAATAGTGGCAGCCGTGACTGCTGTGCTGTCAGGAGCTGACTACCCGAGTTCTGTACCGTGCTCCTCACACCATCTGCGCTGTCTGTACTGAAGCTGTAACATTCTGAGGCTCAAAAATATTTGCCCCAGGCCCAGAATGCCCAGAAGTGCCATTCCCATAGCTGTGACACGGCCATGCCTTGGAGCTTTCACAAGGCCTGCTCAAGAGTGTTACCCTACAAGTTACCCTAGGGTGACTTTTTCAAAAAAGAAGTATCGGGCTGGAGAGGTGGCCCAGCAATTAAGAGCATATAATTGCAGAGCCCCTGAGTTTGGTTCCCAGCATCTGTGTCAGGTAGCACACAGTAATTCTAATTCTATGTTCTCTGACACCCTCCTCTATGCTTAGTGGGTATTTATATGTTACACATTCTCTCTCTCTCTCACTTAAAAGAGGTGTTTGTTTGTTTTAAAAGATAGTATTCATTGGGTCTCAGGAAAGTAGACAGCTCTTATGGGCTAAACAGGCCTCCAGGCCTCTAGGGACAGATCACAGGTTCCATTCTTGGATTCCTGGCTCATAAAGCTGCAAGCCAAGGCTAAACATGGTATCTAGAATTCCTCATACTGACCCACCTCCTCTCCCAAGGACCTGCAAGCACAGGATCGTGCCCATCGAATTGGGCAGCAGAATGAGGTGCGTGTGCTCCGCCTGTGCACCGTTAATAGTGTGGAGGAGAAGATCCTGGCCGCTGCCAAGTACAAACTGAATGTGGACCAGAAAGTTATCCAGGCAGGCATGTTTGACCAGAAGTCATCCAGCCATGAGCGGCGTGCCTTCCTACAGGCTATCCTGGAGCATGAGGAACAGGATGAGGTGAGCATGGTGCCATCCTGGCCCAGCGTGAGTGGTGGATGCATGAGGCTTTCGTTTTCAGTTTTGTACCTTTTTTGCACTCTTGTTTTTTTGTTTTTGGTTATTTTTTGGTTTTTTGGTTTTTGGTTTTTTGTTTTTGTTTTTTTGCGTCCCTTTGGAGTAAAGGGAGTGTGGGCTGAGCAGAAAGAGGATGCGCACTTGCTTTCCCTTCGAAGTGGGTTTTTTTCTAAACTGCTGGTGACAGACGCCGCATTGACAGCCCTGGAGACTGAAGTCCTGTATTTATCCACAGAGCAGACACTGCAGCACGGGCAGCGGCAGTGCCAGCTTCGCCCACACTGCCCCTCCGCCAGCGGGCGTCAACCCCGACTTGGAGGAGCCACCTCTAAAGGTGAGAGGGGTAGTTCAGTCTCCACGCCCACTCAATTCTCGGCTTCTCGCTGAGACTGGCCAGCAAAGGCCTGACCCCACAGAGCGTGCGTGTGCGTGTGTGTATGTGTGTGCCTCTTGCTGACGCGTGGGAGCCTCCACCGCAGCCAGCCTGGGACCTCCAGCTCATCAGCTCATCTCCTATGGACGGACACCGCTGCTCACCTCTGAGCCTGGCCACCACCCAGCCCAGCCCCTCCACAGTCAAAACTAAAGCTTTGCAATCTTGTAGGAGGAAGATGAGGTACCTGATGATGAGACCGTCAACCAGATGATTGCCCGGCATGAAGAAGAGTTTGACCTCTTCATGGTGAGCACCTGGGCTGGGACCACACAGACTCAGTGATGATAGTGCTGTTCCTGTAGCTATTGGAGCTGCTGTTCCTACTTGTGTAGCTTTTATGCTTTCAACTGACCTTCATGTTGTAAGGATAGTGAGAGACACTGTACTGCTATTTCTGTATATGACCTCAGACCCTGTGGACTCTTAGCCCAAAGGCTCCCTCCTTTTATAGGGAAGTTGACTGGACATTGCAGGCCTGAAGGATTGTCGAGGGCCTGACCCACAGATTTCCCATGCTGCTATGTGCTAGTATGAAGTTCAGGTAGGGCTCTTTCAGCCCCAGTTGGGCTGGTGTCTTCCTCCAAGGCCATTCTGTGGACATACCTGTGCTCCAAGGTAGAACCTCTTAACAGACTGTAGCAGCTAGGCCCAGTCAGTCCCCAAAATGAATCACTGTTGGATAACTCTTCAGCACCTAGTGTTCCTGCAGGCAGTGAGCTGGTTCCTGTGAGGGCCACACCGAGGGCTATTGATCACTGTGCTGACTTCTTTCTACCCTTCTGCCTACCCCCCACTTCACAGCGCATGGACTTGGACCGCCGGCGTGAAGAGGCCCGCAACCCTAAGCGGAAGCCACGCCTGATGGAAGAGGATGAGCTCCCATCCTGGATCATCAAGGATGATGCTGAGGTAGAACGGCTCACATGTGAGGAGGAAGAGGAGAAGATGTTTGGCCGTGGTTCCCGCCACCGCAAGGAGGTGGACTACAGCGACTCACTGACAGAGAAGCAGTGGCTCAAGGTACATGCCTGAGAGGGCCGTGCGACACAGACCATGCCAGGCAGGGCTGGGAGCAGAGGCCAGGCCTTCTTGGGTCATCCCAGCTGGCGCCTTCCCACATTGTTGGCTTCTAAGGACCTTTATAGTTCCTAGCTCTATAGCTACCACAGGGAACAACCATGCTGTTGTCACTGTGCAGCACCTAGCGTGCTATCAGCTCTCCCGGGCTCTCCAGGTATGGGTACTTGCCTCTTTATGTGGTTGACTGATGAGAGACCTTGATAAATAGTCAGTAAGTTTACCTGGAGGTAGACAGGAACTGGGCTCATAGTCCAACTATGGAGAAGGCTGAGGTTTCAAGTCCCTGAGCTGACCGCCCCTAGGGACACAGAGGGCAGGACAACATCCTTCTGGTGCGGTGCAGCTGCCCATGCAGCAGTAGTTGCAGATGGTGAGTGAGGACATAGCTGAGTAGTTCCAAGTGTCTGGCATAAAGACTGGCATTTGATATTAGGAGCATAAGCTAATAATTGTGATTCACAGTCTAGCCCTGGAGTCATGTTGTGAGCACAGCCCAGAAGGAACTCTTTAGGATTAGGCAGGTGGCAATTGAAGCATGATCCATGTGTCCCTGCTGTGTGGCCAGGCAGCCCTGGCCCTTTCTGGGAACTCAGAAGAACCTCATCTAGAGAGCACCTCATCTAGTGTGGTGGCTCAGGTCTATAATCCTGAGGTTGAGACAAGAGGATTAAGGAGAATTCCAGGACAACCCTGGCTGTGTAGTGTGCGCCATTGTGGAGAATTTCTCATGCTGTCTTTCCATCAGTTGGTTGGTGTTTGCATTGCTTCATTTGAGGAGCTGTTTTGGTTGATATATGGTAACTATATGTGGGCCTGTCTTTTTGTCTCTTGTGTGTACCTTGGAATGGTATTGATAGAACAGATGGCCGACCATTCATGTGCCAATCCTTGGGCTTACCACATCCTCGCTAACATCTGTTATCTCTTGCCTTGGTTGTATGTTTTGTGTGCTTCTTGCCCATTCCTGTATCTTCTGCATAAATTTATCTATTCGTGTCCCTTGCCACCTACCCCTACCCCTTTGAGAAAATTTTCTAACTGTGTTGCCCATTCTGATTTCCAACTCATGGGCTCAAACAGTCCTTCTGCCTCAGCCTCATGAGTAGGTGGCCTTACAAACACACAGTAGTGCCTACTCTTTCTCTTTTTAAAAGGTTTTTTGTTTTGTTTTTTTAAGACAGGGTTTCTCTATTTAGCACTCATATTATCTGGGAACTCACTGTAGACCAGGCTGGCCTCAAACTCAGAGGCTTGTCTCTGCCTCCCAAGTACTGGGATTAAAGGTGTGTACCACCACCGCCTGGTCTCTTCTTTAAAATTATGTTTACATTTATTTATCTGAAATGTGTGTACATGCATATGTATATTGGGGTGCATCCAAGGCATGGCATGTGTGGAGGTCAAAGGACAACTTGATAGGAGGCAATTCTGACCTTCTACTATGTGAATCCTGGGAACCAAACACAAGTACCCACTGAGCCATCTCGCCAGCCCCAATAGATCTTATAAATCTTTCTTTTTGTTTGTTTGTTTATTTGTTTTTTCAAGACAAAGTTTCTCTGTAACAGTCCTGGCTATCCTGGAACTTGCTCTGTAGACCAGGCTGGCCTCAAACTCAAGAGATCCACCTGTTTCCACTGAGTCCTGGGATTAAAGGCGTGCACCACCACCAGGCCATAAATCCCTTTTTATAGATACACATAGCAGTAGATTCCTCTTCTCTGGTTCTTTTTAATCTCTTTGTGTGTGTTTGTTTTTGCTCACGAGTCACCAAATCTAGAAGAGGGCAGCTGTTCTCGGGAGATGGAGTTGGGACAGGGAAGTGAGTCAGCTGACATGGGTGCTAGGAATGGAACTAGGAATTTTTTGCAAAAGCAGTGTGGGCTCTTAATCCCTGCGCCCTCCTCCCCCTTTTACCCTCTTGATAACCTTAGTGTCACAAAGGTTTTTCATTTTTAAGGTTATTTGTTATTGCTGTGTATGCATATGAGATTTGTTTGTGAGTGCAGGCACATACATACCGTGGCACTCATGGAGGTCAGAGGACTTGCAGGAGTCTCTTCTCTTCCACCATCTGATATGGGGCTTGGTAGGGAGCTCTCATGAGCCGCCTTGGTGGTGCTATTTATCTTTATTGTTTGTGCTTTGATTATATATTTAAAACTTGCCAGATTCAAGGGCACAACGACTTATCCCTGTTTTCTGTTTTGTTTTTATCCTTATACTTTGTGGGATGAAACCCTAGCTAGCCTGGTAACTGTGATGGACTCCCAGGCTGACTTCAAACTCATACTGATCCTGCCTCAGTCTCCCAAATACTAGGGTTAGAGTTGTATACCACCAGGCCTGACTTTTGCCCTTTGTTTTGAGAGGTTTGTAGTTTTACTTTTTAAAATAGAGTACTTCTGGGGCTGGAGAGTTAGCTCGGTGGTTACAAGCACTTATTGAAAAGGATCTGGGTTCAATTCCCAGCACCCATGGGGGCTCACCACCTCACCTCCTCTGGCATCAGGCATAGATGCAGGGAAAATACTCACATACATAAAGTAATAAAAATAAGTTTTTTTTTAAAAAAAACACATCATATATTTGAATGTCTCTTGGTGTTTTGTTTTGTTTCCCTAAAGACTTATTTACTTTTATGTATATATGTACATATGTTTTATGTATATATGTATATGGGTGTTTTGCCTGCATGTACTTATCTACCTATAAAGGCCAGAAGAAGGCGTCAATCAGATCTCCTGAAACTAGAGTTATAGATGGTTGTGAACCATCATGTGAGTGTAGTTAATAGAACCCAGATTCTGTGGAAGAGCAGCCAGTACTTTCTCAACCACCAGGCCATCTCTCCAGTCCATTTTGGTGTTTTCTCTTGGCTAAACTAACTGGACATTAAACTCAAGGACAACCTGTCTCCACACACCCCACACATACCAGGACTGAAGATGCATCCCATCATTCCTAGCTTTTATGTGGGTACTGGGCATCTACACTCAGGTCCTTAGGTTGTAAAGCAGATGCATTCCCACTGAGATATCTCCTAGTCCTCATAAGTTTATTCCACACATTAAGGTCTGTGAACCGGGTGGTGGTGGCTCGTACATTTAATCCTGGCACTTGGGAGGCAGAGGCAAAGAGGTCTTCGAGTTTGAGGCCAGCCTGATCTACAGAGTGAGTTCCAGGACAGCCAGAGCTACCCAAAGAAACCTTGTCTCGAAAAAGAAATAAACAAACAAACAAAAAAGTTCTGATCCATTTTGAGTTTTTATAAGTATGAAAAATAGGACCTAGTTTGAATGCCTTGTCCGCATATCCAGCTGTCTGGCAACATTTGCTAAAGAGACTTATTTTGCCAGTGAGTACATTTTACATTATAATACATTTATAGTTATAAAGCTAAATGTGGTGGCACATGCCTGTCACCACAGCACTTGGGAGATAGAGGTAGGAGAATCAGAAGTTCAAGGCCCCCCTGGATTGCTGAAGACCATGTCTCAAACAAATCCATTCACACTCGTGAAATCGCTAACCAGCCGTTTCCCGTGCTGCCAGTAGGTATGTGATTCTTGTCACTCTTCAGGCCACTCTGTGTTCAGATCTTACAGCTTATCTGACCACTACCCAGGACTGACCCCTGTACTCTCTGAGACTGCTCTGATTAAGTACCATAATTGTGCCATTCAACAGTTTTGAAATACTCTCTCTGGAGAACCCGAAAACCGAAGGCAAATTGCCGGCAGGGTCGTTTTCCCTCAGGACCTGGGCAATATCCTTGGCTCTTCCAGCTTCTGAGGCTCCATCAGCTCTTGACTTGTGGCCACCTTTCTCTAGTTCCTGCCCCTGTCTCACCAGAATGGAGGGCACGGAGAAATGACTTAGTGATTAAGAGCATGGGCTGTTCTTACAAATGACCCAAGTTTAATTTCTGGCACTTACATCAAGTGGCCCACAACCCCCTGTATCTCCAGCTCCAGGAGAGCTGGTGCGTGCGTGGGTGCGTGGGTGAGATTAAGAGTAATAAAAAGAGGGCTGGTGCTGCATCTCAGTTTTGCTATCAGTTTTGAGGCCCAGGGCTCCACCACTGCTACTCCCTGCTTAAACAAATCATTAACATATTGTTAGAACCTTGTAGATCAAGTTGTAAAGTTCTGTGTTGACATGAATTTGGGGAACAGTCTTAATCCATTGTTCATTTCTGGGTGCGGCAGAACCCACAGGTGTGTCTCGCCAGCTGCTACATGCCCTAATGCTGCTTTCTTGACTCAGAGGCTTTCCCTGTCTCCTCCTTGCTTCAGCTTGAAGCTCGATTGTCACTCTTGTGAGATTTGGCCATACCATACTGAGCTGTATGACTGTCTGAGAGCCAGGGTTCATCTGACTTCAGCATGCAGCCCTGTGCCTGGACACCACAGTCCACATGTAAAACAATGACCTGGTAGGTCTTCTGAATCCAGGCCTCTCTCCTGATCCCAAGCTCCCCTAGAATATTCTGAAAGTTAACTATTGTTCTTTGGCATGCCCTTCACCTTGGGTCTCATCCCCAGCACAGCAATAAGGTGAGGCTGGAGAGGTAGCTCAGTGTTACAGGCACTTACGATAACTGTTTCAGAGGGCCCAAGTACAGTTCCCAGCATCCACATCACAACTACCATTAACTCCTGCTCCAGTGATTCTGATTCTGTTCTGGGCTATGGGATCTCTCTCAAACACAGAAAAAAAAAGTAAAATTTTTTAAAAGAAAAAGGACACACATTAAAGTGCCTAAGAATTTGTCTGAATTACATTAGTGCAGTTAGTGCACTGAAAGATTGAGCAGACAGGCTGTCTGTGCACTAGCACGGCAGCTCCAGGACACTGCTTAGTTAGCCTGTACCTGAGAGCTGAATCCACCCTTAGCATCACAAAGTAGTGTCAGAAAAGGAAGAAAAGAACAGGAAAGCTGGGTGTGTTGGCACATGCCTTACCCATAACTTAGGGTGGGGGAAAATAAGCAACAATAATAGTAGTAGTAGAAGGAGAAGTGTGTACAACACAATAAACCTGTGCTGCAGCCCCACGGGTGCACTGAGGCACCTGAGTGAGGGTTATGAGGCATTGAGAGCACCTGATGCCACTGCGCCCTGTACTGATCAACAGCTAGAATAGTTTAATCACATTTTCAAAGAGTAGAGCACGTCTTAGGGTTTCTATTAGTGTGAAGAGACACCATGGCCACAGGAACTCTTAAAAGGAAAAGCATTGAATTGGGGTGGTTCACCTTTTCAGTCCTTCATCACCATGCTGTGACATGGTGACATGCAGACAAACTTGGTGTTGGAGAAGAACTGAGGTCTGCATCTTGTCCCACAGGCAACAGGAAGTGGTCTTTCTCACTGAGACCTCAAAGCCCATCTCCACAGTGACACACCTATTCCAACAAGGCCACACCTCCTAATAGTGCCACTCCTTTTGGGGGCCAGTTTCTTTGAAACTACCACATGGCACTAGTGAGGTAGTTCAATAGGTAAAGGTGATCGCCACCATGCCTGATGACCTCTGAATTCAATCCCTAGAGCCCACATGGTGAAAAGAGAGAACCAATTCCCATACCTTGTCCTCTGAATTCCATCTCCACTGCCACTTGTCAAACATGTGCATACACAATACACATAGTCGGTCAATAAATTAATTTTAAAAATTTTAAGTAGATGGTGACAGAGCCTGGAGCAGGGTCTTCCAAATGTCTGTATCCATGTGGCTAGGCTTTTGCCTGGCCCATTCATGATCCTGTGTAGTCAATCTTTTGAATGGACACTGGGTGGGGCATCAAAGTGGAAGAGAGCACCGGCCTTTCCTACCTGTAGGAGATAAGTCAGGGTTCCCAGTAGACATTGTGCCCTGAGCCAGCCATGCTGGAAGAACATCAGTATGGGGGCCACCTCCCTCCCTAGCCGGGCCCTAGGAGCGTGCATTGTGGCCTCTCTTTGTCGACCTGGGTGCTGGCTGTCCTATTTTACCACTATTGACCCTGAAGGCCATCGAGGAGGGCACGCTGGAGGAGATCGAAGAGGAGGTCCGGCAGAAGAAATCCTCACGCAAGCGCAAGCGGGACAGCGAGGCCGGCTCCTCCACCCCGACCACCAGCACCCGCAGCCGTGACAAAGACGATGAGAGCAAGAAGCAGAAGAAGCGTGGACGGCCACCTGCCGAGAAACTGTCCCCAAACCCTCCTAACCTTACCAAGAAAATGAAGAAGATTGTGGATGCCGTGATCAAGTACAAGGACAGGTAAGTTGAGGCAACAACAGAGGGTCCCTGTTGGGTGTCTGTGAAGCGTAGAGCGTAGACCTGGCACTCATCAACACTGAAGGCCTGTGTTTTGGTACCCTTCTTCAGAGGGCTTATGATCTGAAGCAGGGACGCACACAGGTGTCTTCCACCGTGATAGGGAAGGAACAGGTGGCAGGAGATAGAGGCAGGCATGAATGTGGTATATGCTGTTGGTCTGTCTGAGGAAGGACTGGTCTGGAAGGACAGGCCCTGCAGTAGCAGCAGTAGGTGTAGCTGTTGGATTGGTAATGATGTTGAGAGGCTGTGGCTGGGTGGATCATGACAAAGAGGCCATAGGACCGCAGCCTCTGGTGTTTCTGCTGTGTGTCTGGTTCTCCCTCTCCTGTGTTAAGGGTCATTGAGATGTTGAGGGTTTGTGGACCTTGTCTTGTTTCTTGTCAGGTTATGATCCTGGAGGAAAGCCTGTCTGATAAGATTTGCCACATATGAGGTAGTCCATGTTTTCAGCTATGGCCAAAGCTGTCATCATACTACTATGGGAACTATGGTTCCCATGCAGACCTTGACTAGCAGGAGATGGGAACATGAAGCTTGGGACTTGCTAATCTTTCCATTGTATAATGTCTTAATTCACCTTTTCAATGCACGCTGGCCAGTGCCGGCCACTTAATTAAAATTTTTTCTGGAGAGAAAAATTTGCTTCTCTGACTCAAGCGAAGTATGAGTTATCCAGAGGGAGAGTTAGCAAGCTGTGTTTGCCAAGAGTCCCCAAGTTCGATAGTTTAGAGTGGTGGTGGTGCCTAAATCAGTGAGCACAGATTGGCCAGAGAGATGGCTCAGTGGCAAAGGTGCTTGCCACCAAGCCTGATGGCCTGAATTTGGTCCCCAAGACCCTGTTGGTGAAAGGAGAAAACCAGGTTGTTCATTGGCTCCACATGCACATCCTGGCACCCATTCCCCAGCTAGATCTGAAAATGTAGTAGGGTGGATGGAAAGTGACAGCCCTGATTCCACACAGAAAGGAAGTGGAGGAGTACTGTGGAAAGAGGCTCGCTCGCTTAAATACTTGTTTTAGATGTGGAGTGTGTAAAAATCCAGTGGAAACAGCTTTCCTCTGTGACTTAATTCTCCTTTTTTAAGTTTTAATTTTTAATTTTTTTGTGTATATGATTGTGTGTCTGTGCACGTGTGCCTTCTAACAATGTTCTTTTGAGGAAACTTAAAGCTGAAGTGAAGGAGACTGCTTAAGGTCAGGGGGAAAGCAAGGTAGCCATTGAAGTGAGCCTTCCTGAGGTTTTGGATAGCCACTCGAGAAATGGTAACTCTTGACCCTCTTATGTTTTCCTTTGAAATAGATTATGATTGTAAAACTCAGAAAGGTAAAACAGTGTTCTAGGAGAAACCACCAGTTAGTTTTTGATCCTTGAGTCTTCCCTTCAGGGTAACACAGAAGCCATCTGTCATTAATGGCTAAGAAATTAGACTTCAGAAAATCAGTTCACCACAGGGTGACGCCCTTACAATAATGCAGGCTTTTTTTCCAGACTGAGAAGATGAGCTGATACAAACATGAACAAGGGTGTGAAGACATGCCTGCTAAAAGGATTTCCTGGTGACCCACTCACCATGAGGAGTGAGTGCCAGGGTCCCTGCAATACATCAGAATATTAGGCAATGCACACAAAAGCCAGGGTGACTTTTAGGTGCTGGCACACCTTTGTGGGCCCAGCTTTGAAGTGGGGATGGGCTGAGACAGGATGATCACAAGTCTGAGGCCGACCTGAGCTACATCGTGAAAACCTGTCTCAGAAAAGAACAAAAATGATAGCTTAATGGGTAAAGGCCCTTGCCACCAAGGCCAATGGCCTGAATTTGATACCTGAGACCCACGTGGTAGACAAGTATTGACTCACAAGTTGTCCTCTGACTCCGTGTGTATGCTTGTGGCACACGCTCCCACATGTACACAAATAAATAACTTAAAAAAAAAAATGGAGCCGTTGCTGGAGTACACCTTTAATCCCGGCACTTAGGAGGCAAAGGCAGACAGAGCTCTGAATGAGGCTAGTCTGGTCTACATAGAGAGACTTTGTTTCAAAAAAACAAGCAAGAAAATAAAAAACTAAAAATAAAGTTAGGGGCTGGAGAGATGGCGCAGTGGTTAAGAGCACTGACTGCTCTTCCAGAGGACCCGGGTTCAATTCCCAGTACCCACATGGCAGCTCACAACTGTCTGAAGATCCAGTTGCAGGGGATCTGACACCTTCACACCAATGAACATAAAATTAAGTTAAATAAACCATAAAAAAATAATTAATTTTTTTTCAATTAATATTGAGAAATTGAAAGACTGCCCCTGCTAGGATATCCAAATTTTGGGCAGTTGATTGCAAGGTGCTGAAATGACTCAACCTCATCCTCTCAGCTGAGCTCGGTTGTGCAGTTTCCTCTGTGCTAGTTGCTATGGCCCATGTCCATAGCAGCAGGGTTGCAGTCTTATCCAGGAATCCATCCACAGGGCAACTGTAACCTGAGAGCTCTGGAAGCAGATATTGCTGCTACCTAGGGGGCCTTTGTCTGCAGAACACCACAGACTTCGGTGTGGATGAAGTTTCAAACCCATCCGTGGTGCTGGCCGTGGGCAACAGTTCTCTCCAAGTGGGGCCTACCTGGAAAGCTGTCTGAGATGGTCTAGCTGTGTACATAGCAATACCTAGGTCAAGGGCTTCCTTGGAGCTTAGTGTATCGGAGGGGTGTATGTAAGAGACTTCATAGCAGGGCAAGGCATTGGTTGTTTTCAGAGGAACCAGTTTGTTATTCGTGTATTCTGTGCCCTACTGAAAAAGCTTCCTTCCCTCATGCAATTATCCATGAGGTGACAGATGACTCACCCAGCGGTAGAATAAACAGGCTCCAGCGCACAGATCTGCTAGTAAGGTGACGTTGGTTTGTCAAGATGGCTCTGTTGCAGGACACAAGCTCCTTGGATGTGGTAAGGGTGTGACCTGATGCTGAGCACCTTGTTGGGGTGTTACTGTGCTTATAGCTGATCCTGGGGACAAGATGTCTTGGAGCTTGATGCCTGTTTCTAAGTATCCTCCCATCTAGATTGGATAGTGTCATGGAGCCCAGAGCTCCACAGGGGGAAAGAGTGTAACAGGATTGTAACAGATTGTTGGAAGCAGGTCCCTTCACCTTAACAAGGTTGCAGATGGCTGCAGTCACATGTTACCTGAGGAAAGTCAGCCTTGCCTCATTTTCCTGGTCAGAAACTTAACTCATTTGCCAGAGAATTTCAAAAGGATGTTTAGGTACAGTATTGACTCATTTTGTGGACATCTGACACTTAACTCAATTTGCTGCAAGAAAGATGAACAAAGCTGTGAGGCAGCACAGTGTGAGCCTATGAGAAGTCTGGCTTTGTTGGGGTGAAAGCAGCCAAGGGGAGCAGCTAACAGGATGTCCACAACTGTGGTCATTGATGGAAGGTTTTCAGTAGCAGCAGCTCTCTGGAGAGGCCTCTCCCCACTGTCCCTCCCTTCCTGGTGGTATCACAAACATTGCCAATTTCCCTGCAAATGTAGAGACAGCCAGGAATGCCTGGGCACCGGGGGTTTCGTTGGGGCTCTCTCGTGTATGCGTGGCTGGCTGCTCACGTGGCTGACCTCTGTAGCTACCACTTCTGCTAGTCAGTCTGACCCATAGTCACCAGCCTGAATCACGGAGTCCTACCCCTCCAGAATGTCATTTCAAGGGCTCAGAGATCACCTTACTGCGCCCGAGGGCAGGGGCTACAGATTCTTTATGACGTACTTGTCATCCAGAAGGCTCTGAGCCAGCTCTGGTCTCTGGCATGGTAGGCAGTATTCACAAGTCAGGCCTGATATCTCTTACCCTGTTGCAGATATGCTGGGGAGAATAACAATGTAGCATCAAACTTAGTTTTGTTTTTCTATTTTAGACAAATGCTCTCTATGTAACCCTGTCATCAAAACTGCTTTCTTTTTTATTTTTATTTGTTTTTTGTTTTGTTTTTCAAAATGGTTTCTCTGTGTTGCTTTGAGCCTGTTCTGTCCTAGCATTCACTCTGTAGACCAGGCTGGCCTCAAACTCACAGATATCCACCTGCCTCTGCTTCCCAAGTCCTAGGATTAAAGGTGTGCACCACCACTGCCCGACGCCTTAGTACTTCTTGAAAGACACCGAAGAATGATTTTGAGCTAGACCATAGACCTGCTTCTGGGTGACGGTTAGGTTGCACGTCCATTTGGCAGCCTCCAGGAACTAGTGCTGCTGGGTTCAAGACAGACTGCTATGGAGAGGCCGGGAAGCCTTTGCCGTGTCAGTGCTGCTGGCCATTGAGGCTGTGGCTTTCTGGCCCAGCTTGAGTTTATACCACAGAACTAAACTTGTCTCCTTTTTATGTTCTCCCATAGATGCTGGTAGCCAGTAGGCAGGGCCTGCTGACCTTGGCTCCATAGCACCCATTCACAGTATACCTTCCTGCTATGGTACACAGTGGGTAGGAACTTGAACTGTGTGACTCTTTGAGTCGGTGCACAGGCAGGCAGAATTGAGCTCATAAGCAGAGCCACGCAAGAAGAGGAGGACGGGTGTCCGTGAAAGGAGACAGGGTCTGCAGTATGCTAGCCCAGGACAGAGGTCTGCAAGGGTCTGGGCTGCCGCCTGCTTGAAGCAGAGCTGCTCTCCCTGCAGTTCAGTCCTCTCTTCATGTTAGAGAACCTGCCAGACTAAGAAGAAAGTTGTGCCTGCCTCCTGCAGAGCTGAGCACCATCCCCAGCTAGTACTACAGCATATAGCTAGTCAAAATGAAGTGGGAAAAAGAACTTTTTACTTTGAAAGTAAAACATGGATGAAAATTAAGTATGGACTCGCGAGTTAGGTTGTACCTTGTCCTGGACCGTAGAAAAGCAAGGGCCCAAATCAGCTCCTTTCAAGTGCATAGGATCAGGTTCCAGAGCACTGTAGGGTGCCAT